CGACTCTGAGGAATTAACGAATTAACGAATAGGAAGAGTGCTGGAGGATTGGAGCCGGGCAAACTTATCCAGATCTTTTTAAAAGAAACAAAACAGGTTTTAACATCCACATTTTGGCGAATTTGATGTCAATTCACAAGAAAATTCTACCAAAAGTTGTTATCTTAGTTGATTTTTAAGTACTTAGGGGGAAAAAGCAGACTTCACTAGGTGCCGTTGATTATTTATTAAAAATGATCTCAGGGATTCCTGTGCAAAGATAAGATTAAAGCTGGATTACAGCATCTTCCTCTCTCAGTGCTGATACCAAAACCAAAGCCTTTATCAGAAAGGAACATTATGGACCATTTCACTCAAGGATAGATGCAAAATCACTAAACGAAAGATTAGCAAATGAAATACCAACATGGCATTAAAACATAATATACTACAGGGGGGCCGGTCCCATGGCCTAGTGGTTAAGTTTGTGCGCTCCACTGCGGTGGCCCAGGGTTTTGCTGATTCAGATCCCAGGTGCGGACATGGCACCGCTCATCAGGCCATGCTGAAGTGGCGTCCCACATAGCACAGCCAGAGGGACCTACAACTAGAATATACAACTATGTACTGGAGGGCTTTGGGGAGAAGAAGATTGGCAACAGATGTTAGCTCAGTTGCCAATCTTTAAAAAATTATATATATATATCTATCTATACACACACACACACACACACACATATATACACTACATTTAATTGGGCTTATCCTGGGATGGCTTAATCCTAGAAAACTACAAATATAACTTACTATATTAACAGATTAAAAAACCATCCAGTCATCTCAATAGGCGCAATAGGTTTATCTTGATAAATTTGAACACTATTCATTCTAAAAACTGTTTCTAAATTAAGAATAAAGATAATTTCTTTGATAACAAGTATCTATAAAAAAAACTAAACAAATAAAATCCTACTAGGGGAAATACAAGAAGCATTTCCTTTAAAATCGGGAATGAGACCAGGATGCCCATTATCATGAGTTCTATTGTGCTGGAGGACCTTATAGTTCAGTGAGACAAGAAAAAGAGATTAGTGGCGTGAAGATTGGAAAAGAGGTAATAAAACTCAGTATTGGCAGGTGACATGATTGCTATATAGGAAACCCAAAAGAATCAACATGCAATTATTAACATGCATGTGTACAAAAGTTTAGCAAAATTGCTGGATATAAGATTAATATACGAATGTCAGTATGGCCTTTCTGTATACCAGCAGCAAACAATTAGACATGTAATTACTATTGAAGATGATATCCTAGGATATCCGGTGTCTAATAAGAACATCAGAGACTATCAAGAAGCTACCAAAATACGTGCAAGACCTCTATGGGGAACATTGTAAAATTATGTTAGAGGTGGTGAAGACTCAAATAAGTAGATCTATCAAACTCATGCAGAGGAAGACTTCAGATCATGAAGATGTCAGTTCTCCCAAAATTGATCTATAGATTCAGTGCAGTCCCTATCAAAATCCAAGCAACGTTTTTCATAGAACTTGATAAAATCATTCAAAAATGTATATGGAAGAAGTAAAAGGCCAAGAATAACGAGCTGCTTCTTAAGAGGAAGAGCAGGAAGGCGGGGGTATGCCCCACCACACATCAGGACATACTGTGAACCTCCAACAAGACAAGGTGGCATTGGTGTAGGGACAGCAAACTGACCAATGGCCCAGAAGAGAGGGCCTCTCGAAAGACCCACGCACGTGTATCAGTCAGCTCGGGCTGCCATAACAAAACGCCACAGACCACGTGGCTGAAACAACACACTATTGTTTCTCACAGTTTGGGAAGCTGGGAAGTCCGAGATCAAGGTGCACACTGGGTTCCTGGTGACAGCCTTCTTCCTGACTTGCGGGTGGCCGCCTTCTCACTGTGTCCTCACACAGCAGAGCATGCTGGTCTCTCTTCCTCTTCCCATATGGACACCAACCCCGTCACGCGGGCCCCACTCTCACGACCTCATCTAAACCTGAGTGCCTCTCAAACTTCCCACCTCCAAACACCACCACACTGGGGTCAGGGCTTCAACATACGAACTTGTGGCGGGGGGGGGGGGGGGGGGGGGGGCCACAAACATTCAGTCCATAAGACCATGTAAGGGAACTTGGAATATGACAGAAGTTGCATATTACGCTGGTGGGAGAAGAGAGATTGTTCAATGAATGGGACTCAAGAAAAAGATTATTCATGTGGGAAAAGATGCATTGTCCGTACTTGATGCCATACACAGTTCCAGAAGAATTAAGGGCTTAAATGTCATAAAAAAAACTTTAACACTCTTAGCAGAAAATATAGGTGGATATATTTAAGACTGAGTACCAAAAGATTGCTTAAACAAGACACAAAAATTATTGACAATAATATAAAAGCATAATACATTTGACTATACTATACTTAAGAACATCTGTTCTTCAAAAGTTATCTTAAAGAAAGTGAAAGATACTGGTTATAAACTGGAGAAAAGATAGAGATGACGCTCATAACTAACAATGGATTAGCGTCAAGAATATATAACGAACTTTCGCAAACCAATAAGAAAAACACAAACAATTCTATGGAAAATGAGCAAAAGACATGAATAGACATTTCACAGAAGAGGAAACACATATGGCCAATAAACACAAGAAGAGATGTTCGGCATCTTCAGCAGATGAAAACAGACAAAGGTACGTTACAACCTCAATGAGAATTGAACAGAGAAAGGTACGTTACAACCTCCGTGAGAATCTGTCTTACCCCTGTTCAACTAGCAACTGAAAATCTGACAACACCAAGCGCTGGGAAGATTGTGGAGCCACAGAATCTCTTATACTGGTAGGTGTGTATATTTGTGAAACACTTTGGAAAACAGTCTGACCTTATTCCCTAATATTGAACATCCACATATGTTCGCATATTACCCTATGACCCAGTAGTTTCACCGTTGGGTACGTACTCAAGAGAAACTCTTATGCACGTAAAATAGGAGACTTGAACCAAAATTCTCATAGTAGCATTTTTCACAATAGCAATAACCTGGAAACAACCCAAATGTCCATTAACGGAAAAGGGAATGGGTAATTGTGGTATATTCACACTGTGGAATATTATACAGCAGAGAAAGTGAATGAACTATAACCATACACAATATGGATAATCTTAGTAACATAATATTTAGTGAAAAAAAGTTAGCCTGGAAAAGCAACATATATTGTCCTTTTTATAAAGTGTAAAATAACTAAAGTTCTATAAAAGAATATGTTTTTGAAGTACATGTAGATGCAATAAAACTTATTTTACAGGAAAGCACCAGTGGTGACGGACACAGGATGAAGAATGACTGCGTCGGGTAGGTGGAGCCAAGAGGCTGTGATGGAGTGGGGCCATATGGTACAGGTTATTGTTAGGATCCTAGCTTTTGCTTGGATCTGTTGGGTTCACGGGTGCTTATTGTATTATTTAGAAGAACTAAAAAAAGCAAGCCATGTATGGACTTGTAGTGAGTGTGTCATAAACCAAGGACTACAATCAGTTCAGTTCGTGCACTTGAGTTCCAATGAAAACAAAAAGAAAAATTATAAGTTGGACAATAGTTAAGATGAAACTGTATCAAATTCACTTTCAATTCAGGTCAGTTCGGTTCATTTACCACATATCTGCTATATCCCAAAGCACTCTCCCAGCAGTCCTGAATAATGGATTGAAATCCACCTGCAAGGAGATGTCAAGAGTCCCCTGGACCTTGACCTCTCCATCTCACAGACGGCCAGGCTGGAAGGGAGAATCCTGCAGCACGAATAGCCTGGCCCAGGCTTCACTGCTTGGATGAACGAACTTTGTAGCTTCTGCCCACGTGGTCCCTTGCTTGAGAGTCAAATCCCGAGTGAGAGCACCCACATGTCCAAGCAAGGCTCTCATTTCCTGATGGGCCTGCGGCGGGTGGAGGAGGAAGCCTGCTGGCAGCGCCTCCAGGAAGCTGGTTGGCGTCTACAGTCAGAGGGCTGGTACCTACATTTACTACATCAACCGGATGGCTCACCAAGCGGAAGGAGAAGGGATGTTAGGTGGCCGAAACAGAACTCACAGTCACTATATATTTAAGTATCATGTTATTAGTGATTATAATAATAGCTACCATTTATCAAGTGTCCACTATGGGTCAGTCTACTAAAATACATTATTCTCCAGCTAGACTCTAAGCTGCAAGAGGGCATGGCCTCTGTCTGGGCTGTGTTCCCGGCACCTAGATCAGAGCTTGGCGCCGGGTAAGCCCTCAGGAAATATTCCAGTGACTGGCTGCCCAGCCGCCAGCGATGAAGTGAGGCAGGTGCTGCCTCTGAAGGAGAGGCCGCGTGAGCTCGTGTTCTGCTCACGACCCCATGCTGCACTCAGCGGTTCTGCCCACCCCTCTTCCTAAGCACCTCTCAGGGCCGCCCTCCCCAGCTTCTTCCGGGTCCCCCTCCTATTCCGGCCCTTGGCTGCTCTTGCCTGGCTTGTTGCATGATCTCTTCCCGGTCTCCTGGTATCTAGTTTTTACCTTTACCAACTACTTCCTGCATTACCACCAGGGTTTCATTTTAAAAACATGGATCTGGGTTCTGACTCACTGCATCTGTGAAGTTGGATTTGGGGAGCAGCTTCCCAAAGGGGCGGGAACCATGCCGGGTGGTCAGTTCACAGCAGAAGGAGAGTCCTACGTGTATGGGAGAGGCCCCCGGAAGTGTATTCAGGTGTTCCTGGGACCACAATTTAAGAATTACACAATTTACATTAATTTAAAAAATCTAGGGCTGGCCGCGTGGCCAAGTGGTTAAGTTCTCGCGCTCCGCTGCAGGCGGCCCAGTGTTTCGTTGGTTCGAATCCTGGGCGCGGACATGGCACTGCTCATCAAACCACGCTGAGGCAGCGTCCCACATGCCACAACTAGAAGGACCCACAACGAAGAATATACAACTATGTACCAGGGGGCTTTGGGGAGAAAAAGGAAAAAATAAAATCTTAAAAAAAAAAAAAGGAAAAAAAAAACTACATTTATTGAATCACATGCTTTGTACCTGGTGTTTTAACTATAACAGTTTGTTGAATTCTCGCAATAATTCTTTGAGGTAGGCCATTCTGGTTCCATTTTACAGATGGGCATATTAAAGCTCAGAGACATTAGGAAGGTGCCTGAGGTCACACAGCTAGGGAATGGTGGAGTTAGGATTCCCCACTCCACACCACCCCTTATCTTTCTGGCTCTAAAGCGTCTTACTCACAGATAAGTACATCCAGAAGAACATGTCCATAGCATATTACGTGATGCATTGGAGGAAACGGGCTGCTGGATCTGGAAAAGACAGACAGAGACCTTCAAATAGTGAGCTCCCGGACTCTGGGAGACCCATGTGGAGGCAGGAAAACTGAGCAAAGGGCTCCTTCCTTGAGAAGTTGGGTGAATGACCTGTAACTTCATAACCCTTTCTTTTCCATCTCCTGCTGTTTATTCCTGAGCTACTCAATTCTAGTTAGCCTTTCCGCTGGGTGGAGGGAGGGTGAGAAAACGGTGGGAAAAAGAGAATTAACTTAAGATCAGTTAACTAGTTTAGCTGTCACGAGAGGGGCAGAGCTCCTGAAGTGGCCGTTGCTGGGAGCGACGGGTCCCTGCCTTGCTGTGGACTCCGTGGTCATAGGGTCTTAGTATGGCGCTCGTCCACTCCCACGTCACCTGTGCCATGCGGGGTCCAGCTCAGAGACCTGGACCTCCTCTGAATCAGCATAGATCGCTGTCGAATTTTCCTCTACGAATGTTCTCGCAGCTTTATTTTCAAGAGCAAAACATTTGGGGGAAGAGAGTTTGACTCAGATTTTTCAGTCAAAATGATTATAAATTGTCTGGGGCTGAGACTAGGAACAGGGAGTGACTGCAAATGGGCACAAGGGATCTTTCTGGGGTGACAGAAATGTTCCAAAATGGATTGTGGTGATGGTTGCACAACTCTCTAAATTTACTAAAAACCATTGAATGTGCATAAGTTATTCCTTCCTTACTTGTAACTGTAAAGCAGTTACAAATGATTGTAAATACTGGAAAAATCTACACCAAATAGCAGTGGCTGCCTTACAGAGAGCACACTGTGGTAGGCGATGGGGTGGGCAGCGGTGACCCAGCCGTGCTCCTGCGTTACAGAGCTGGTAGTTCAGCCTAGTGGGGAGAGGGCCGTGAATGCAAATTGCTCTGTCCCACAAAAGCATGGGGTTCAACCGTCCCAAAGAGGGAAAAACCAGAATCAGGAGGGACTTCAGGAGGCTTTGATGGGATCCAGAGGAAGATGAGAATCTGAGGCAGAATTTGTGAGACTAGAGACAGGAAAAGGAAGACTGCAGGCCACACACAGTTCCACTGAGAATTAGGAGAGGCCAGGGGTGGGGGACAGATGTGGGTAAGACAGTCCCCCTTCCTAGGCACCTGGTGACCCAGCTGGTCCAGAATAGGCCCAAAGTGGCCATGGCAGGGGTGGCTGGTTGCTACCACACTCCTTTGGCCGTGTGGTCATGTGGAATGCTTGCAAGGCTGGGCTTCATAACTGGGGAGGATGTGGTCACTGGCTAGTAAGTGGCAAAACCAGTATTTGGACTCGAGAAGTGTGACTCTAGTGCTTGGTCCTCAACACAACCCCTGTGTTGCCTGCTTTACTGGAAAGGAAACCGAGGCTCAGAGAGGCTGACTGAGAGCCCAAGGTCACACAGCAGAAAACGGTGGGGCTGCGATTTAAATCCAGGTCTTCTGGTGCCAAAGTTGAGGCTGATCCCACTAACGTCACCTTGCTGGTGCTAAGGAGGGCATGAGGACCCAGGTAGTCCTGCTTTCATCCTCACAGGACTCTCCTGCCTGAAGAGAGGCTGTGGCACTGAGCGAGGGCCGGGCCAGCCCTTTTTTTCAGCTGCAGGCTGGGGCTTCAGGGGGTGAGTAAACTCTCCTCAGTCTGGCTCTCCGTAAAGAGGAGCCTTGAAACTCCCCTAAATACTCCTTTTGGGGTGCTTGTCATTTATCCCAACAGGAAATGGCTTGACAAGGTGCCTGCCCGGCATCTACAAAGGATACCGGCCACGAAGGGCCAAGGGGAGAGCATGAGGTGATTTTCACCCTTCCAACTCACCTCCTCCAGGTTGTGCCCTTCTCGCTTCTTGGGTTGAGTTCTCGTTCTTTTATGCAATGTGCCAACACGCCTTGAACATGTACCAGAATCAATGTTCATTTGTGGCTCAATGTCTACACTCAGCCCCTGAGCTGGCTAGTGATCTGAGCCGGTGTAGACACACTCCACACAGTGCTCGACTCCCTCCTGAGTGATGTGGGGAAGCACAGGGACCATGGGAGGAAGGAGGGGAGCACCGTGTGCCCAGCTTCGGACGCCCTGCAGGAACCCGGGAGTGGGCACTATTACCCCTGCCTTATCAGGAGGGAACCTGGATGGAGAGAAGGGAATCCAGTCCTCAGCGTGTCCATCGACCCTCCTCCATTCCCTGAGACGCTGGGGTGGGTGGGCCATCTTCTCCGTTCCACTCCCGCCACAGCCCCTTCACTCCCAGGAGACAGCACTGTCTGCGACACTGTTGTCCCCCAACAGGAGGAAACTCCTGCCCCTCCACAACTCCTGGGACTCTCGTCTCCGCTCCTGGTGAGACACCCACTCGCAGGGCCTGCCCCGGACCTGCCTTTATTCCCAGAGCGGCTCCTCTTCTAGAATCTTTACTCCAACCAACGCTTTGCTCTCTGACCACAGCCTCCACAGCTGGCCTTCTTAGCTCAGCCCCGCTGGAGCCCCGCACATTGCCTGTAGATGTGCCTTGGTCCAGCCTCAGGGGATGTTGGGTGTCATCCACCTGCCACTTGACCGGGTCCTCTAACTGGCTCCCCTTAAGGACTGTGCAAACCTTCACCACCTTCCTCAAGTCCTCTGTCCCACCACTGGTCCCCATCACCCACTTCACTGAGCAAACTGCCCTGGGTTGGGTGGCCAGCGCACTCGCCCTCTGAGTTTATATTGATTTATTCGTGAATTTGTCTCTCCAACTTGACTGTGCCCTTCTTTGGATCAGGATCTGTCCCTTGCTCCTCTTCGCATCCCTGGTGCCTGACACAGTGCCTGGAACCTCTAAGGGTAGAGCAGAGTGGCCAGGCGGGCTAATCGCAGAGGCTGGTTTGGGGAGGTGCCCCTGACCCTGTTCTGTGAGCCAGAGCAGCTCAAAGGCTGCCTCCCAGGATCTATGAGCTGCTCAGCTGGCACTGAAGCAAGAGAAAACCCGTACCTGCTCTCCGCGTTCTAAAACCCTACGCTGGGAGATGAAGTACAAAACGCAGCCCATTCAGTCCCTTACAGTGAGTTTCCATGGCAACATGGCCAAGGCCTGGTGCGGGGCAGCCTGCCTCACTGGAGCAGGCCTGAGTCCCACCTGTGTGTGTGGCAAGGGCTCTCCTGTTGTTCTCTCTCCACGTGGGCAGGTGTACATTCATTTCCAAGTCTCTTCTATGCTGCTTCCCGCACTTAATAGCAGTGGAAACCATGAGCTTCCCTGAAGATTTGAGAGCTTGGGGGAGGGGGCAGTACAGCACGCACCCTGAAGACAGGGGCTGCACCCACACGCCCTAGACTCCTGCGCCCTCCCGCAAGCACCCACCCCCCCTCCCAGAGTCAGCTCATCTGGGTGGAGCCAGGGATCTTTCGGCCCCTTTCCTCTGTGAGGGGGTCTCGGGCAGATGTGTCAACACAATTTTTGAAGGTTTCTCTCCTCTATCCCACCCCTCTGAGCTTCGTGGTCAAGAATTGGCTTTTTGGGGTTCTCACTTTCCTTTTCTGAACAATGAAAGAGCCAGATGCAATGATAGTAAGTTCTAAGCATACTGCATTTCTGCCGGCTCCCATCCCCTTCTCTCTACCCTCCCTCCCCATCCCCCTTCCCTGTCCCACCTGGCTCCAGGTGGCCCAGTCCTTCCAGCTCTGCCCATTGACCTCCTGGTCTCCTTGGAGTGAGGTCCTGGGGGTCTCCTCGTCTTTCTCTTGGGTGTTTGGATTCTGCCCCTGTCCATCCTTGAATGAAGAAGAGGATAGAGGAAGAATGTGAACAGACCAGGCTGGAAGATGGCAAGGTTGCCCACCAAATTATGGAGCCTGCCCTCACGGTCCCCCTCCCAACCCCAACTCAACTGGGCTTCCTTCTCTTGCCTCTGGGACTCGCCCCCCAGGGCCTTTCCCCATGATTTCCCATCCCACCCGCCCTGCCCCAGGCGCTCCTGCTGGGCATCGCCTCCACAGGAGCCAGCCCAGCGCCCCTGCCTCAGCCATGCCTGGCTGCCTTCAGTTCTCGCCTCACTTATGGGCTGAGACGGTGGAACGAGACGGTGCTTATCAGCTACCAGCTCAGAGCTGAGAAGTCGAGCCTGGCCCCAGTAGAGTGCTCTGACTTGTGGCATCCTCTTTACGGGGCGGTTTATGGCTTCGTGGAAGAGCAAGGGAGGAGCTGTTGCCCACAGGCCTCAAATCACCCTGTCCTGCTCAGATGGGTAATCCAAGGGGTCGGGAAGGCTGCCTTTGAAGGCCAGTCTGGAAACGGAGGCTGATGGAGAAGTGACGGGACATGGGGTCTGGGGAGCAAAGGCAGGCACTGCCAGGACCACCTTGAGATGGGCCCGCCTTGAGATGGGCTTGAGCTGCTGGTTCTGTTTCTCTGTGTGACCTCTGACTACTTTATTTTCCTTATGTGTAAAAACGTTGATAAAACCTACCTCACGGGGTTGTCTAGACAGAGACTTAACAAGATGACAATGAGGAAGCAGCTAACATAAAACGCATGTCTGAAGCCCAGCTTTACACTTATTCCCTGAGGGGCAAGATTTCAGAGGAGACTCGAGCAAGAGGACGCTCTCAGGTGCTCAGCAATTCCTACGGCCCCAGAGGACCCCCCCCCCAGCCCGCGTGCAGACCCCTGCAGGGGAGAGCATGGCAGAGGAAAGGTCAGCGACCTTGAGTGAGGTCAAGGGCAGCCACCAGCTTGGAAGTTCAGTGTCTTGCACGTCCTGACTGCTCAGCAGTCCTGTTGTTCGTGTCTTTCCACTCCATAATGCTTAGCTGCTCCAAACTTTCCCACTATTTTTATCCCATTTTCCAGCTGAGGAAACTGAGGCACGGAGAAATTAAGTAACTTACTTGCCCAGGGTCATGCAGCTAGTAACTGGCAGAGCTGGGATTCAAACCAAGGCAGTTTGATTCCAGAACGGATGATCTTAACCGCTACAATATTTTGTCTCTATTTTTTACAAAAGAAGCTCCCTGGCCCCTGCCTCATCCTCCGGTTAACTTTCCTTCTCTTCTTCCCCTCCCACTGGGCCTCTCCGCAGAGTCTGGCTCCGCCTTTCCCTCCCTGGGGCTCCACGGTTTGTTGGACAACCCCGGACTTTCCTGAATCGACCCCCTCGAGGGCTATTCAAAGTCCGAAAACTGCCAAGCTCGGTGGCTTTACCCAGTTCTCATTCCTTCCCGTGAAGACGGCATCTTGTTTTCATCCTCCAACACTGTGTAAAATGGCTTGTTGGACTCTGGGAAAATGCCACATGCTTTCTGGAATATTCCTGCTGCTCTCCCATCCCAAACGCACCCCATTCTTTTCTGCTTATGGTTTTCTGCTGGACATTTCCCCTGGAGGACCATATCCTAGGACACCCTGCTTGCTCCAGTCCAAGGGGACACCTCCCCCTCACCACCCAGGTGCAGAGCAAGCCGTTCTCGTCCTCTGCGCGTCTGTAAAAAGCCGCTGCTTTTCCTGTTTCTGTGACTCTAGAGTTGTTACAGGCTAAACTCCTCCTTCTCCTCCTCCTCCCCCCCCGACCCTCCTCCTCCCCCTGACTCTCCTTCTCCTCCCCCGACTCTCCTCCTCCTCCCCCTGACCCTCCTCCTCCTCCCCCTGACCCTCCTCCTCCTCCCCTGACCCTCCTCCTCCCCCTGACCCTCCTCTTCCCCCTGACTCTCCTCCTCCTCCCCCTGACTCTCCTCCTCCTCCCCTGACCCTCCTCCTCCCCCTGACCCTCCTCCTCCTCCCTGACCCTCCTCCTCCCCTGACCTCCTCCTCCTCCCCCTGCCCTCCTCCTCCCCCGACCCTCCTCCTCCTCCCCCTGACCCTCCTCCTCCTCCCCTGACCCTCCTCCTCCTCCCCCGACTCTCCTCCTCCTCCCCTGACCCTCCTCCTCCTCCCCTGACCCTCCTCCTCCTCCCCGACCCTCCTCCTCCCCCGACCCTCCTCCTCCCCTGACCCTCCTCCTCCCCCGACCCTCCTCCTCCTCCGCCTGACCCTCCTCCTCCCCCTGACCCTCCTCCTCCCCTGACCCTCCTCCTCCTCCCTGACTCTCCTCCTCCTCCCCTGACCCTCCTCCTCCCCGACCCTCCTCCTCCCCCTGACCCTCCTCCTCCTCCCCTGACCCTCCTCCTCCCTGACTCTCCTCCTCCTCCCCCTGACACTCCTCCTCCTCCCCCGACCTCCTCCTCCCCCTGACCCTCCTCCTCCTCCCCTGACCCTCCTCCTCCCCTGACCTCCTCCTCCCCGACCCTCCTCCTCCCCCTGACCCTCCTCCTCCTCCCCCTGACCCTCCTCCTCCCCCTGACCCTCCTCCTCCCCTGACCCTCCTCCTCCTCCCTGACTCTCCTCCTCCTCCCCCTGACCCTCCTCCTCCCCGACCCTCCTCCTCCCCCTGACCCCCCTCCTCCTCCCCCTGACCCCCCTCCTCCCCTGACCCTCCCCCTCCCCCTGACTCTCCTCCTCCTCCCCTGACCCTCCTCCCCCCCGACCCTCCTCCTCCCCCTGACCCTCCTCCTCCTCCCCCTGACCCTCCTCCTCCTCCCCTGACCCTCCTCCTCCCCTGACTCTCCTCCTCCTCCCCCTGACCCTCCTCCTCCTCCTGTTTCTTTTCCTTTAACATCTTGGGATATATTTACTCAGAACAGAGTGGCTTCTCTCTATCCTTGTCTCTTGCTTGATTTTTTTTCTTTGTTAGTTTTCAAAATAATAAATTAATGTATTAGCATCCCTAGCTGATAACGAATTAAAAATTTTTTTTAAAGTATCATTACAGACGAATGGATTTAAATATATTCGAGCTGTTTCAATCTATTGAAGGTGCTATCCTTATCGATACCCACTGCCATGTCTCTGGCCAGGGAGAGCCCCTTCGTGCTGGCTCCTGAGTCCTTGTGACACAACCCTACTTACCTTTAAGTGCTTCCTCGCTATCTGGGGTGACAAGTCTCTCGCAGCTACATCATTGTCAGGGGCCTCCTGTATCAGTGATGGTGCGAGAGGCCTAACGGAGTATTTAAAAGAGCTCCTTACAAGGATCCCTTTCCCCAGGGCGGGGAGAAGGGATAGGAAGGTGGGAGTAAATCTCTTCCGTGTTTCAGGGTTGTTCAGGAGGGTTTGAGCTGAATTCCTTCAGGTTGGGGAATGGCCAGGGCTGATGTTGGGAGGGGCCAACCCAGAAAGGGGCAAGGAAGTTTCCCCAAGAAAGGTAAAGGGCTGGGTTCCGGGTTTCTGAGGGTGGCAGAGAGCAAGCCATGGTCCCCTTGGAGCCTGGGAGCTGCCAGACCTCTGCCGGGGTGGCCCATAGATGCAGGAGGCCACTAACAGGGGGCCATGGGCGAAGGGGCTCCTCCAGAGGCATCCCTGTTCCCAGGCATCGCTGGGCAGAAACAGAGCTGCCCAGCCTGGGTAACGGGCATCTCAGAAACGATTTCCTGGTTTTCTACAAGTTCTGCTCTCAGGTCTTGCACAGCCCTCGGGAGGGGGAGGCTAAATTTGACACCACCCTGGGAAGGGGCTCAGAGCCAGATTTAATTTAGTTTACAAACAGTCACGAGGCAGTTCTCATATCTGAGGGCAGGTCCCCAATTCTGAGATACACTCTGACGGAGGACATTTTGTTCCCTCAAACTAAGTCTCTGGGGAATGGGAGGTGGTTCTTTCTCCAGGTGTAGAGAAGAGAAAGAGGAGAACCAGTTCTTTAAAACCCTTCATCAATGCCAGCAATGACGATTTCCTTGAGCCCTATTATCCCCAAAACTCCAGTCTTACCCCTGCTCCCCTTTCCAGCCCCTCTTGCCATCCCCTCCTCCGCCACACTCCTTATTGAACTCCAGCCACCTGAAACCCCTTGCGGATTGAGGAGTATGCCATGTGCTCTCTCACCTCTGGGCCTCTGCACATGTAGGTGTATCCATTAGGGTCAGTCCACAGTTGTCTGGAAGGCAAACTCCTTTTAACTTTCTGCTCCACCATTCTCAGCAGTTGGCTTCCATCCTCGAGTTTGCTTTATGGTACAAAATGGCTGCTGGAATTCCAGCCATCAGTTTCACGTACTAGGCAGGAAAATGGAGGAACCAGGCTGCATCTCCCAGACGAGATAGACCTCCTTCCAAGAAACCCGGTACAGTTCCATTTATACCTCATTATTCCTTACTAGCTACAAGGGAGTCTGGGAAATGTAGTCTTTTAGTTGGACACTGCCCACCAGGATAAAATGATATTCTAATTGCAAGGGAGAAGTGATAGATGGATATTGGACACAAACGTGCTCTGTTGAGCCTTTAGCCCTCAGCTTAGATATAGCTTCCTTTAGGAGTCAGCCTTCTTCTAGGTGCTTCCTCAGCCCCAGACTCACCCGTTATCACAGCGCCTTGCACCTGATGTTTCAACTGTCAGACTCTCTTGAACAGTGAGCTCCGGGAAGGCAGGGACTGTAGGTGCTCAAATGATGCTTACGAAATGAACACATGGAGGCTGGGGCAGCATCATTCTAGAACATTTCACACTAATTCTCCCTGTTCAGGATGCTGTTATAACGCCCAATTGATCTTACTGTTTTTTTTTTTTTTTCACTTCTGAGTCATTACCACAAACATGTACCCAAAGCTCTTTTCTTGAAAGAAAAAGCATCTCTTCCCAAACCACTGGGGACGGCACGTGATCTGCACCTTCAGAGCTTAGAGAACAACTGGCATATCCAGAACAGCATCCAAGACTGTCTGGATGGCAGCTTGTATGGTAATAAAATAAAAAGTAATTTATAAGTGGCAAAGAATTTGAACTGAAGTATAATTCCATTTTGTGCAGAAAGCCAAGCTGTTCCGCATAATTTGTCATCCAGCCAGGGCTCTCTGACTTGCTCAAGCCAAAGGCTCCTACCTCCTCCCCATCTCTGACTGGCTCCTTTTAATTTAATTCTAAGTGGCAGGGCTCCCAGTATCCCCAGTAAAGATGTTTTTTATCTCTCAACTGAGCCAGCTGGTCTAGTCTCTTTGCAAGTGACTGAGCTGGGATAAAAAATCTTGGCCAGACTATCCCAGAAACTTGCTCCCAGAAAAAGTCCCTTCATGGTTTTCAGTTATCTATCACTCAGCCCACTTCAAAATGCAGGGGCTTAAAACCACAACTTGTTATTTCTCATGATTGTGTGGGGCTCAGCCAGGCAGTTCTTCTGCTCCACGTGTGTTGGCTAGATCACCACGTGCCTGCATTCAGCTGGGAGCCCACCTGTGGTTGGAGCATCCCAAATGGCCTCTCCTCCCCCAGGGCCTCTCTCCACGTGGCCTTGCATCGTTCAGGAGCCTAACTCGGGCTGCCTTCAGCACAGCAGCTGGCTTTCAAGAGGGCACTTTCCAAGAGAGCAAGCGCCAATTTGCAAAGGCTTATCAGGCCCGATGCTTGCTAATGTCCCATTGGCCAAAGCAAGTCACATGGCCAATCTGAGAGTCAGTGAGAGAGGGGGATACACAGGCCACGGATGCTGGGAGGCGGGTTCCTTGGGCCACCATGAAGCAGTCTACACACTGGCCTCTAAGGAGAGCGGCGCAGCAGCCAGGGGTAGACCGGCCTGGGGAGAGCTGTGCTCCTCTTAGTGTAGATTACACACCATTATTCTTTGAGCCCCAGAGGCAGAGCCAGTGGCTGAGAGTGACAGGGGGACACCTTAGAGTTTGAAGAGGAACTGCCCAACAGGGAGACGCGTGCTTTGCGGGATAGTGAGCTCCCTGTCACGGGACGTGTGCAGAGAGAGCCTGGCCCACATCTTCGGGGGAGGCCCCGGGAGCTCCTGCCAGGGCGGAGTAACCACAGCTCCCTTTCAAGTCGGAGTCTATTCCAAGCTCTTCTTCAGGCCCAGCACGCTTGTCTCACAGATGGCAGGTACACATCAGCCCGCGTGCGAGGAGGGTGGCGAGGACGGGTCACAGTCTCAGGGACAGAAAATATCTCGGTGGCTGAATCTTGAGGAACTCAGTCTCCCTGGACTCGGAACAATCCCTGTGCCCTGACTGATTGACAGCCATGCTGGGGATGAGAGGGCGGGACTTCCTGTCCTGAGGACAACAAACAGGAAGTCCTAACCGGGCTTTGGGCAGAATGTCGAAAAACCTTGCAAGGAGCACTTGGACTCTCCACGTGCTGCCCTGGGAGGGGCGGCCGAGCGGGGGAGGGGGCCGCGGGCAGGGCTCTCGGGGGACAGGCCGCACCCCTCCCCGCACTCAGTTGGAGCAGCTCCACTTTCTGTCCTCACAGACCGAGTTCTCTTGTACGAGTTTTGTTCCAAGAAAGGGTTCTAGGGCTAAAAAAATAAAAGCTTAAAGATCACCTAGAGAGATTCCGTCCTTAAGAAACATTGTCAGCTCAAGGGCCCTGCTGCCCATGGGGACACGGGGAGGGGGTGGCACACATGGGGTCGAGGGGGACGGGCCCCACAGGCCTTTGCGCTGGGGGGGGAGCGAGTGAGTGGGGCACAGGGCTGCACCCTGTGGTCTGTGCGTCTGGTCTTGGGGTGCCTGGCCTGCTGCCCAGGGCGGCCCCGGGTCTACCGAGAGGTGCTATGGGGCCTGAGATGACACAACCAGAGCCAGAGAGGCTGGGATGACGCTCCCTGGAGCACTGGGTCGGGGGTGGAGGGGCAGGCCCTGGACCAGACCCCGCTGGACAATCCATGCTGCTCTGCAGCACCGGCGGCCTCCTCCATGGGCCAGCCTGGAGCCCGGCGCTTGGGGTACAGAGCTTGGCTCTCCCTGCGGGTGGGGTGCCCTGGCCTCGTGGCTCAGGGAGGCTGCCCTCCTCGCAGCAGCTCAGGCCAGGGTTCCTAGGGTGGCAGCTCCCACGGACGTGGCCCCTTTCCACCTCAGGACAAAACTGGAGTTGGGGCAGCGCCTCCTGGAGCGAGAGGAGCCGGCTAAGGCGACACAGTGGGACCCCGCCTCAGCACCTCCTGCCTCCTGCTCCAGGACGCCTTCCCTCCACTCTCTGTTTTCTACCGCCTCACAGAGTGCGCAGGTTTAGCCACATGACACAACATGTGTTGGTCCATCCCGGTGTTCAGGGTCTCAGGTCTGGACACGGCCTGACTGGGTCTCACAGGCTGCGGCTGGGGTGTTAGGCGGCCTCATTCCCCCTGGAGCCTCAAAGGCGGAAGAATCCACTTTCCAACTCACTCGGGTTGTCGACAGGGTTTATCCCCTCGTAGCTGGATGACTGAGGGTTCCTGCTTTTTGCCTGCTTTTGACTGGAGGCCGCCTTCGGGTACTAGGCTGCCAGCCCCCTGCCATATGCACCTCCTTAAAGTGCCTGCGGACTTTCTCAAGCCTGTAAGGAGAGCTGCTCACCTTAGGGAGGGCCCAGTCCCACTTTAAAGGCCTTCACGTGATTAAGTCAGGCCCACCCAGGACAATCTCCCCTTGGATGAATTCAAAATCAACTGATTTGAGACCTTAATGACATCTGCAAAATCTCTTCACCCTTGACATTCTGTTGGCTAGAATCAGTCAAGGTCCCACCCAGGCTCAAAGGGAGGGGAGTACATAGGGTGTGAACAGGAGGGGGTGGGAATCATGGAGGCCGCCCTGGGGTGTCCACCACACCCCTCTTTTGGAGACCCTAGGCTCCAGTACTCTAACCGCTCCCCTTGCTTGCTAGGACCCACACTCTCCCCTCCCACGCCCTCCCGTGCATGACCCCTGCAGCTGTGCTCTTCACAGCTGGTCGTCCAAGACTCAGCTTCCCAGCTGACCCTACACAGTTTTTCTCCCAGCTTTACTGACAGGGCAGAAATGGTCGGATCAGAGAAACAAGTGCCCCAAAGGGACTCAACACATTATCTTTGTCTGGGGCCTCTGCCTTATCCCGAAGGAGTGACCGGTGGTGGACATTTTGGGGATCCATGACTAGTTGGTGGTAAAGTGGTTTCTTCGGATGCTGAGCAGCCCTCTTCATCTCTCTGCTTCGATGACCTCCACTCTGCTAGTCTGTAGGGTGGTCTCACAGAGGGTTCTAGGGTCATGCCTCTCTCTTCCCACAGCCCCGGAGGACGAGGGGCCTGACAAATCTCCTGTACTCCGCGTGTTTGTATTTTGCAAATGGGAGGACTGGAGCCCCCTGATACCAGGGGAATTGTCCCAGTCTCCTCCATGAAGTGTTAACCATGATAACGGTAACACGTGCGCTTATCGAGCACTTACTGTGTGCCAGGCATTGTGCGAGCACGCTCTGCGCGGTACTCACGCCAACTTTGGGAGGCAGGGTCTCACTGCCCCATTTTACATGTATGGAAACTGAGTCTCTGAGAGGCTAAGTCTCTTGCCCAAGGTCACACAGCTGGGGAGGGGCAGAGGCAGATCGGCCCTCCTGGAATGTCAGACCCGGACTGGTGTGACAGTGCCTCTCGTGGGCCCGAGCACTTCCCGTCCTGGGTCCTCAGGGTGCCAGGGCCCACACACCTCCCTGGGGGGTGGTCACATCGGCTCTCTGAGGCAGCCCCCGGGGGAGGAGAGTGAGGGGTGTGGGTAGGGCAGAGGCGCTGTCCGTGGGGCAGGCCTGAGGGCCTTCTGGGGGCCCCCCCAAAGCCTGGGAGGTACTGACATAAATGCTGAGTGGTTAAGAGAGAAACAAACCAACCCACGCCCAGGAACGAAATGCCAAGGAGACCAGTCTGTGGGGCCTGCCAGAGCAGCAAAGCTTCACGTCCCATGTGTCATCGCAGGAAACACGAGGCCTCGCACGCAACCGCGCAGAAGCAGCCGTGGTCCTGCCTGCTGCCCCGAGAAGGGGGCTGAGGAGCCGGCAGCTGGGCCCCAGGAGAGGGGCTGCCAGGCTGGGAATTACAGACGGGTCAGTGAGAAGACACTCCGTGTCTGCTGCGCCCCCGTTGGTGATTTGGGGATGTCCGGGACTGACAGCCCCCACCTGCGAGGCTGGCTGCGCTTGGTCGATGCTTTTCCTTGTTTTGTTTTCTGCTATGTTCCTTTCTTAGTTAAATGCCAGAGTCGTGAGTATCAGGGGGCCGGTGATGCGCCTTGTGTCCTGGTGCAGACTCCGCTTGAGGTGAAAGGCAAGCTCTCTGTCTCTCCTTCCCTCTCCCAGACCCACCTTGCTCCTTCCTTCTCGCTCTCCTTCCCTCCGTCTCTATTGACTCCTCCTGGCTCATCCCATCTTCCAGCGACTCAGTTCTAGGACTCCCACTGCTTCCGAAAAGACATCAGTGAACTGGGGGGACATCTGGGACAGCTGAATAATAAAAACTGCGTGTGGAAATACACGAATTGATTGGTGCCTGAATGAGTAGGCGAGTTTAATTCACATTGATCGAACACCAGGATGTGCCAGCGTTTGTGTGGGCTGTGTTGCAGGAAAGACGAGTTGGGGTGGGGGAGAAGGCTGCAGAAGCCCGAGCTTGACCATCTGCAATCCCACAGGAGGGCCATGGGAACGGCCAGCGTCGGCCTCCACCGAGTGCCCTCGCTCCACCTCCACGGGGTCTCTGGAGAGGGGGAGGGGGCCTGATTTTCACTTTCTGGGGCATCTTCATCATCTGTCCTTCTTAGCTACC